CTTCCGATATCTGCCGAGTTCTCCCGAGTCCCGCACTCAGGCATTCAGGGTTAAGAAAAGCTCCGGGGAGAAGAAAAATTGCTCCCGGCTGGGTGGTGCTGGGTGTTCACCTGAGGGCAGTAGCTCAGTCACTGCCTCCTGTCGGACAGGTTCGTGGTGTGAAAGAAGGGCCGGAATGTCATCTTAAAATGAAGTTATTGATAAAGAGTCCATAGGGAGGTTGGATTTTATACTCGGAAAGTAGAAGTCAAAGGCAAGCCAATGCTGAACTTTCTTTCCGAAGAAAACAAAATGGTGATTTTAAGATAAACTGAAATTAGGAAAGGAACTAGCCCAGAGATATTTCATCATGGCTTTGACAGCCATGACTGCCCCATCTCCTGATGACAAAACTGCCCAAGCCACTCAGTAATGGTAATAATAGCCCTTTGTGCGTCTCTTCACAAATTCAGGGGGAGTCAGCCTTTCGTTTTATTTACTAAGGACACTGAAGCTGTTAAAGCCAAAGGTCAAATGGTAGGTCTAAAATTATAATAATTGTTGGAACTATCCATACGTTTATTGAGCCTTCATGCTGAACCCAAAGTTAAGATTCATGTTGCCAAGGTACAAAATCAGAACTTCTGTTTATGATTATTTTTTTTTTATTCTCTCGGTCTGTAGTTCATTAACAAAAGAATGAAAGTTAGTTGCAAAAACAAATACCTCCCAAGGAGATAACATCCTTTTTTCTTAAGTCCAAATTTACCTTTAAAATTAAAGTTTGCTATCTATAATCTTAGAGCTTGTTTTTTTTTTTTTTTTTTGGGGGGGGGGTTTTTTTTTTTTTTTTTTTTCCTTTTTTTGTAACCAACATTTTTTTTTCCTTTTTTTTCTCCCACCAGATCTTACGGTTGTGAGCCACCCTGTGGTTGCTGGGAATTGAACTCAGGACCTCTGGAAGAGCAGTTGGTGCTCTTAACCGCTGAGCCATCTCTCCAGCCCTAGAGTTTTCATTTTACCAAGAAATAGCTACTTAGGAAAGTTGCTGTGGTTTTTGTTTTAAAGTAGAACTTTTGAGGTACAATTTTACCTCTTGTCTCAATCGAAACAATATATTACAACATTACCGGCCCCCTTTCTCTCCACAGACTTAGGCTGCCCTCAAATTGTCATCCTCCTACTGTCTCCATCTCTAAAATGCTGGGATAAACGTTTACCACTATGCCTTTTGCACAGTTTAATATACTGTAGATGGGGTTTTTAGCGGGCAAGTTCTCAAGAAAGAAAGAAAAAGAAAAGAAAGAGAGAGAGAGAGAGAGAGAGAGAGAGAAAGAAAGAAAGAAAGAAAGAAAGAAAGAAAAAGAAACTCATCATCCAGGTGGTGATTCCAGCACTTAGAAGGCAAAGGCAGGCAGATCTCTGTGAGCCAAAGCCAGCCTGGTCTACAGAGAGAGTTTCAGGACAGCCAGG